AGGGCTGTGAGTTTCCTTGAGGACAAGGACATTATCTTGCTATTTTCTGTTTCTCTTGGACTTCATAGGAACTTAATAAATATTTATTGACCAACTTACTGTATATGTTGGCTCTTTCATAACAGGAACAAGGTCTGTTTATTTGCTTTGCTCAGTGGCCAGCTTGCTGTGGGGGCTGGCTTGGTTTTCAAAATTATGGTCCTTTTTGGGAAAGGAAGTAGAATGGTTGGGGTGGGGGTGGGCGGTCGGAGAGGGGCGACGCTCACTTTTTACCCTAAATACTTCTGTATTCTTTGAACTGTTTACAAGAAGCATGCATGCATATATGACTTTTTTAATAAAGCAATTTATTTAGATTAGGCTTTTCATATGAACATTGTCCCATGGAGGGGACAAGGTGGCCTTTTTGAGTAAGATTTTCCCATGTTTTTCTCCAGTGTCCCCAGATCAAATCCTTTCAAACGGTCACTGTAGCTCTCTCCACTTTGTAAAAGGGTCTAACTATATGAAATTATAAGGGATAGCACATAGATTAGGAATTTTGTGTGGGCTATAATTGGGGATCATTTTTAACTGCCTGGAGTCATTTGCAATATTATCTCAGCTGTGAGGGGATTATACTTAGTTATAAGAATCCCTTCACGCCAAGATGTCCATGAAAAGTTTTTTTCACCAGGAAAGGGAGCCAGCAAACCATGTTTATCCTGGTTCCCAAAGGAGAGAGGGACGATGTCCCTCCACCCCTAAAGAAAACTCTCTTATTTGAAATGTCTTTTCCGTTTACCCTGCTTTGAATAATGGAGTTTTTAAACTCTCTTATTTTTCTAAATACTACATTTACAAAGGAAGGATATTTTTGAGTTCCAAGTGCCTATTTCAAGTCTTTAATGGTTCTCTTGGTCTGGCATTTACCAGCAAAGATTCTTTAGAAAGCATCCTATGGGTCAGTTCAGTAGCTGAAGAGACGATTCCAAGCCAATGGTGCTGGCGCCTAATGCTAAGACAAATCTCTCCACAAAATCTTCGCTTTTCATTGTGTTCTGGGGCCTGGAGAGGCCATCTGGGCCATCTCCCCGTCTCCAGGAAGACTGGTAGGTGGACCTGCCTGGGATGGAATGTGTTGGGCACGCAGCCCAGACTTCTCAGCTCCATCGGCTCTGGCTTGGGCCTGCTGGGTGGGCTGACTGCAAGGCCAGAGCTGCCCAGAGGAGGAGGCCATGCCCTCGACCTGCCATCAGCAGACCTCCCATCCACCCTGACCTGGCTTCAGCATCTGGGCTCCTTGGACCAATGGCCCGAATCCACCCTGGACCTCCTGCTTGTACTCTGGCTCTGAGCGTCTTCAAAACTGGGTGCATACAACTTGAAGACTCAGGACTTCTGAAATCCAAAGCAAGCCAGTTCCTGTCATCTTGCCTCACAAGTCCTTGTTTCTGGTTCCTCAGTCATTCTGAGTGTGTCTTCTGGTCACTTGTGCCAGCCTTGCAGCAGACTGTCATTCGGGTCTAGTTGAGTTGTCAGTTTCTAGTAATGTGACTGTTTCCCAATGGGATGCTGCTGGCATCTGGGGTGAGCAATTCTCTGTCCTGTATATTGCAGATCATCTGGCAGCCCTGGTCCAACCCACCAAAGTCCAGCAATCAGCTCTAGTCGTTATGACAACCAAGAATCCATTCTCAGCCTGGGTTTGCAGGAGGGTGCAGTACAACCCTCAGACTGGTGGGGGCAGTTCATCCTGTGGAGAGCAGTACCACTCTTAGCCTGGGAGGGCAGTACCACCTTGGGAGGGTGGCGGAGTAACAGTATCACCTTTAGCCTGGGGAGGAGGGCAGAACCATCTCCAGCCTGGGGGGACAGTGCCATTCTCAGCCTGGTGGGGGAGCAGTATCACCCTCAGCCCTGAGGGGGGGGGTTGCAATACCACCCCCTGTTGAGGACTACTGAACCCCAAGTTTCTTCGCTGTACACTCTGCACCCACCAGCACCCAGCAGTTAGTGCCAGACTCATGGTAGACCATCAGGAAATATTTGTCAAAATATTTGCTCAAGATAATGAATGAACGAATGGAAGAGATCCATGAACAACCTTGAAGGGGAACTGGGAACCCTATAAAATTGTGTGCAAAATGAGTGTGTATGTTGTGTGCATCATACACATGTGTTTTCTGGGGCAAGAGTTATAGCATCCATCAGATTCCCCAAGGGAATTTGTGACCTAAAGGGACGTTTGAAGACTGGCTCCACCAGTGTCCACTACTAGCCTAATGTTTGTGTCCCTGCAAACACCGCTGCACAGTGCTTGTGAGTTTTAGAACTGCGGCTCTGTACCGACATGCTGCTATCCCTGCAGAGAGGAATGTACTAGAAATTCCAGGGGGAATCTGCTTCTGTGACTTCACACAGGTCCCTGTAATGGAAGGGCTGCACTCCTCCCTTTAAGAAGAAATGACCCTTTGATTCACTAGCAGACAAGTTTGGTAAGAATAGGGCAGGAATGAGACGTGTTCCTCCCCAACTCAAGAATATTTCCTGATGGCTCTCCTAATGAAAGCCAAGAAAATTGGTGACGTTCCTCAGTTGGCCATAATAAGCCAGAGCTCATGCAGCAGCTCTTCAGAGGCTGGCTGAATGGAGGAGTGAGCAGTTGTAACTTGCTTCCTTTCTGCCAGTCCATTGTTGATGCCATTGTTTTAATAAAACACAAGCAACACCCCGAAGCAGGAAGAAACCTGGGCCAAGCTAGTGGCTGCAGAGGGCCTCATTCCAGATACAGCTGCAGACCTGCCTGAAGGTTCACACTCAGCTCGTGACCCTCTGCAATGATAGGTTGGCCGCACTACAGTGGCTTTGAATGAGGGTTGGATGGATAGATGCGGAAGGTGTTAACATAATGATGGCTCATCCTTGCTGGCTTCCCGGCACCCATTTGCCTGTCCCGGGATCGTTCTGTCTCAGGAAGGGGAGCTACAAGCATTCCAGGAAGGACATTTAGCCAGGGGAGGGCACATAATTGGGGGCTGGAAGCACCCCAGCTCAGACCTCATCTCTAGCACAGTGGAACATTTGCCAAGAAATCTATGATATCATTTGCCCCAGAGGGATCATTCTATTTGCAGAAGCTGGCAGCATATAGACTAGATCAGTCATGAGCTCAGAAAACTCCCTTGGGGGAAGATAGAAACTCTGAGGAACCCCGGATAGTTCAGAGCAGGCTTCTCAAACTTGCGTGCACCTAAAATTATCACCTGGAGAGCTTGTTAAATCAGATTCCAGGGCCCCAACTCCAGACAGTCTATACATCAGGGACTTGATAATTTGCATTTCTAACACGCTCCCAGGTGACGCTGATGCTACTGGTCCCTGAAACAAACTTTGAGAACCACTGGTCCCACCAAGGGTTTTCACACTGCGCCATTGCGCCCCCTTGTGGGGACAAGAAGGGATGAAAAAAACAAGTGAATGGGACTCAGTGCTCCCATCCCCACCACGATGCAGGACACCTCCCAGTCTATTTTATAAATCTGATTTCTGTGATTAAATGAGGAACCCCTAATAAAAAGGAAGGGGTGATCACTGGCCTGAAAGAGGTGGATCCAGGCCTGCCTGAGGGGTGTTCCCAAGAACCTCCCCTCCCCTCCTCATTCCAGCGTCCCTGTGTCATAGGGCAGCATCTGCCAATAACCCAAGAACATTCGAAGCAAACGCAAACCCAAAGAACCCAAAGGGTAAGCACCACCTCGCCCCATCTCGGGTTGCAGAGCCATTCCCTCGGGCATTTTTGGCCACAGCAGTGGTCTTGTGCCAGCTCTCTGCAGCTGGAGGGGTTTCCCTTTCTGCCTGCAGGCTCACTGCTCAGCTTCCACAGGCAGGGGGCAGCGGCCCAGCACTGGATGGTCCCCAGGTCCGCAAGAAACGTCAGCATAGGCACCCCATCACCCAAAACCAACCTTATGTCCTGCCTGTAACTTGGACCCAACACCCGTGTTCTAAGGTGGAGCCCAGTGTCTGGGGTCCACCTGTTGGGGTTTGACTCTTGGCGTCACCACCTCCCAGCTGAGATGTGGTGTAAGTCTTAGTTTCCTTGCCTGTACGATGGAGGTAATTGTAGTACCTATGTGAGTGTTCAACGCAGCTGTCAGTGTAAACCTCTTTGTACTGTGCCTGGCATGGTGGGAGCCCTCAGGAAACGTGGGCCAGTTTTACTAAGTCCTCTCTCTTAACGTTATTTCAGTGGTTTGGATAAAGCAGGAGTGAGCCACCCGTTTTAGTGTGCTAGAGCTGTTGTAACAAATGACCGCAAACTGGGTGGCCTACAACAACAGAAATTCATTTTCTCACAGTTCTGGAGATGAGAAGTACAAAGCCAAGGTGTTGGCAGAGTCATGTTCCTCTGAAGGCTTTAGGGAAGAATTTGTTTCGTGCCTTTTTCGTAGCTTCTGGTGGCTGCTGGCAATCCTTGGGGTTTCTTGGCTTGTAGATGCGTCATGCTCATATCTGCCTCCATCACCATGTGGCCTTCTTTCTGTCTATCTCTGTCTTGTTTTCTTCTTCTTTTTTTTTTTATTTAAAAATATTTATTTTTCAGTTACCATTGACATACAATGTTATTGTAGTTTCAGGTTACAAAACAACACAGTGATTAGACGTTTCTATACTTCCCAAAGTGATCACCCTGATAAGACTATTACCCATCTGTCACTGTACATGTTATTGTTGTCTTGTCTTCTTATAAGGACAGAAGTCATATTGGATTAGGGCCCACCCTGAGTATGACTTCATCTTGATTCAATGACATCTGCAGAGATAAGGTCACATTCACAGGTACCAGGGGTTAGCACTTGAACATATCTCTGGGTGGGGTACACAATTCGACCCACAACACTGCCCGACTGGGGTGAGACACAGGCCCAGCAGCTGTGAGGCCTGGAGGATCGCCACCGTGAAGCTGTGTGGGCTTCCCCAGATTTGGGCTAAATTGTCCTGATGGTTGTGTTTTCCAGGGTGCTCAGACTTACATCTCTTGGATATGTTGACCCCAACTGAAAGAAAGCGACAAGGGTACATCCACGAGCTCATTGTCACAGAGGAGAACTATGTGAATGACCTGCAGCTGGTCACAGAGGTAACAGCAGCTGTGGGTGCTGGGGAGGACTGGGGAGCACTAGCAGAGGGTGGGGAGAGGAGGAGGGCCCTGCCAAGGAGGCCTATGTCCTGATTCTGAGCCTGAGAAGCTTTTGGATGTGTGGGGAACATCTGGAAGGTAAACCACATAGGAGATTCTTACCCAAGAGAAGATGGAGATATTCTCATTCTTGGCCAACTCTGAGTTCTGCCCACAGAGCAGCAGAGTCCACTCAGGTCAAGGGACAAGCGAGTCTGTGAGGCGCTGTGTGGGCAGAGACACGTGGACTATGAGCTGGGCGTCCAGGCTCTACGCAGTTACAGCTCAGCCACCAACTATTGGGTTGTCGGAAAAGTCCTGACGTGTTTTTTCTATGTCTTTCATTGCAAAAATGCGTCATGACTTTTCCGACAACTCAATAGTTGATGCACAGAGCATGTCACATCTTCCCCTGGCCCTCGGGGTTGGCATCTAAAAGGCAGCCATCTGGCTGCTCTCTGCACTCATTCCTAGCGCTACATATTGCTTCTGAGAAAAATCTGTTGCTGAGAATGAAGATGTTTCCTCTAGGTCCCTGGGCACCACCTGTCCCAGACGACCTCTCATTTTGTCTCTCCTCCTGGGTAGCCCTTGAAGGGCCTTGGCCACCCTGTCCAGAAGGGTGGAGACATACCAAGTTGGGAACCTCTGCTGTGCAAGAAGCCTTTTGTTCACGCACCTGGGAAGTTACCACATTCGGAAATAGGCGTTTGCAGAACTGAATGTCAGGGTCACTCTGCAGTTTGGAAAGTACTGTTATAGTTTAGAAACTCCGTTCCCCCCACACCAGCCCCCTCGCACCTGACGGTTGTGGAACCATCTCTGAGAGTCTTACCAACCAGGAAAGACGTGACTTGGCCGCACAGTGTTAAATGTGTACAGGATGCAGGATGGGCTGCTGGCCCACAAGACCACCATTAATGCATAGAAAACGTGAGTGCAAATTCAAAAAAGGCACTTGACTGTCACTAAATATACAGTCTAGGGTGTCCAGGATGTGTGTGTCACCCCTTTGGGTATGGCCCCTGTGTGCAGTGGCCTGGTGTATGCCAGGTTCAACATCGGCTTAAGGACTCAGGAAGAACAGTGCTCCCAGGGAGCAGCCTCAGTGCAGCCAAGTTTGCATAAAGCCAGGCTGTCTCCATCCCTATGGAGGCTTCAGGACAGGGGGCTGCCTCCAGCGCAGGTAATAGTTCTGTGGGCGGGACCCACCACATGGGTTTGGGGGACATCTGTGGTTTCCTGCAAGTCGCCCAACCACACGGAGCTTGGGCGGGCCTGTTTTTTGCCTGGAGCCCAGGAGAGGAGCCTCGCCAACCCTCTCCCAGGCCCGCACGTGCTGGCCCTGTCCCAGATACAGCCCAGGCTGAGGGCAGAGCATCGAGTCTGTCACCGAGGCTGCTGGTTGGAGGCTGCCAGGAGCTGCTCTCCTCAGACGGTGCAAGGCTTGACTGCAGTAGACACTGCAGGCGAGGAGGAAGTAGTGTCCCACATCCACGTGCATCTTTAAGCCCCTCACTTTTCCCACGGTGCCCATGTCTTTATCGCAGGCAGGTAAGACTCTGTGAGGCTTTGTCCAGGCTTCTTGGCTTTGTCCTGGTGCAGTGGCCTCCTTTGCAGAACAGCGCAGACGTGATGGGGACCCCCCTCCCTGCCCAAGCAGAGGAGGGGCCATCTGCTTCAGAAACTCTGCAGGAAGGCAGGCGTCCTGCTTCTGGGCCTCCCAGCAAAGCTGCAGACGCCTTGGTCCTTTGCATCGCTCTGAATGGATCTGTGTGTGTGTGTGTGTGTGTGTGTGTGTGTGTGTGTGCGCGTGTGTTTGAGTTTTAAGCTAACTGCTTTCTGAACTGCTTCGTTTTCTGCACCTGTAGATCTTTCAGAAACCCCTGATGGAGTCTGAGCTGCTGACAGAAAAAGAGGGTGCTATGATTTTTGTTAACTGGAAGGAGCTGATTATGTGTAATATCAAACTGCTGAAGTAAGCCTCTCTTCTCTAATCCTGGCCTCGCTTCTCCCCCTCTGCTCTCACACACTAGCACTTCCGAGTGGGTTCGTCCGTGTGTCCTCCCCACCACGCATGCCTCCCTGTGTTTCTTTCTGCCTTTTTTGCTCATTTCTACTCATAAGCACCATTGCTCTTTTTTTGCTCTGATGCCTTCCAAAACACCCCCCCAAATTTTCATGGTAGAGAGAGTTAATTGCCAAGGCACCTCAGGTTCTGCTTTCACTGTGGTTCTAGAATGTCCAGAGCTAGGCCAATTCCGGGTCCGTCCTGGGGCGTAGGGCAGCCCCACCCGCCTTTCCTCAGACCTGGGCCTCCATGGCCAGTATCGGTCCCTTGAGGCATCCTTGGCTCCTGTGGGTGGAGAGGGTGGAACTGCCCACATCAGCAGCATCCTCAGGATAGCTCTCTGAGAAGCTGGCCCGGAGTGCTGCTATTTTATTCCTGGTTTAGTTCTCAGAGGCCGCTGCAGGGCTGAGGAGAGACACTGGGCCAGGCGTCAGGAGACCTGGGCTTGGAACCCAACTCGCTGCCCTTTCTCTGTGAGCCCGTTTCCCTACCTGTAAACCGAGACGATTGGATTACATCATCACAAAGGTCTCTTCCAGTTCTAAAAAACAAAAAACAAAAAAACCTTCCAAAGGTGTGTCCACCAGGTCCTCATTATAACAGCGCTTGTTAGAACAGATTAATCTGTGGTGACACAGGCAGCTGGCAGGAATGGGGCTCGAGAATGGAGCACAGCCCCCCAGGAACATGGGTCCATTCCTAAGCTCTATGTTCATGTAATCAGGAAGTGGCTATTTCCTGAACATGGCCCCTGTGTTCTTCTCGCAGGGTAATTTCACGTGCCCACCTTCTCGAGTGTGTGTCTGGGAGTGGATGAGGGATGGGGCAAGGAGGCACAGACATAGATGTGAGGAAAATATATAACATCTGCCCTTTCTATGTTCTAGAACACAAATAATCAAAGACGACCCCAGGGGGTTTCAGAGAAAGTGTTTTTATTATTATTATTATTATTATTATTATTATTAGTTTCAGGTGTACAAAACAATGTAATAGTTAGACATTTCACCCCTCGCAAAGTGATAACCCTCCTCCCCCAATCTATTGCCCCTCTGACGTCGTAAATATCTGTGACAATTCCATTGACTCACACTACACTGTACACCTGAAGCTGAAGCTGAATAATATTGAATGTCAACTATAATTTAATATATATATAGTCACAGGATATGGAGTATAGTATAGGGAATTGAATCAATGGAGAAAGTATTTTCATTATCCTCCTTGAGGAGGAAGTTCTAGAATCTTCAGAGCTTATGTCTGGGTCAAACTCAGGCTCACATCCTGCTATTGCCCTGTGTGTCTTTGGGCAGGTCACGTAACGTTCCCTGGGCCTCAGTGTCCTCATCTGTACTATGGGGATGAGACTAGTACCTACCACATGGGGTTCTGATTAGGGGCCCTTTAGACCACGGGCGTCTGGTTCATAGTAAGTGCTGGGCCCGGGCCCCGGGGACCCTGGTGGTGGGGGCTGAGCACCTAACTTCGCTTGGAGAGAGGCTCCCCTGTCACCTGGGAGAAGGGGGGTTAGTTAACTCCTAAACCTACGAGTACTAAGCCTAAAGTGTTGGAAACAAGTTGTTTTAAAATAGTCACAAAGGCTCTCTGTTGAAACTATACCTACAACTTAAAACCACTTTTCCTTGCACTGCTATCAGTCGAGGGTCGGGGAGGTGGGGGATGTTTCTGATGTCCCCAAGTGCCCCATCCCCCGACGTGCTTGGCCTGAGGAAAGCTGTGCTGCGGACATTGCTGCCATGACTTTGTGTTGCCTCCTCTCCTTCCTGCTCCTGTCAGGGGAGCACACGCCCCTTTCCTGAGCTCTTCAGGGCCAGGCCTGCCCCTCCTTTCTGTTAGAGCTGATGTGCTCACAGCCCTAGAGGTAGGAATTCAGAGTGCAGTCACAGCTGGCAAACAAGGCCCAGAGAGGTTGGGTGACTTGCCCGAAGTCACACAGAAGGGGAGCTTGTGCCCGGGGCTGCTCTGTGGGTGACACCCAGGGTCCTGCAGGAGGTTCCGCCCCCACCTGCCCCCAGTGGAAAGAATGTAGAACCAGGAGGCAGACGTCCCAAGTTTTCGTCTGGGGTCTAGCACCTTCTAACCTGTTCTGGGCAGTTTCCTTGGGCAGATGACTCTCTGACCTTTTGTTTTATTTTATTTATTATTATTATTATTATTTTTTTTTTAAAGATTTTTATTGGGGAATTGGGGGGATGGGAACAGTGCTGGGGAATTGGGGAAAGGGGAACAGACAAGTTGCTGTCCTTTTGTTCTTCAGTCTAGTTGTGGAGGACGTTGCTTCACTGGCCCAAGTTGGCACCATCATTGCGCTCTTCCTGGGTGAGGCAGATCAGTCGCCAGCTTCTGGACGGCCGCTCACTGCGGCTGCTGGCCACTCACGCTGGCTGCCGGCTACATACGGTAGCCCATGGCAACCCACTGCCACAGGGGCTGCAGCCTACGCTGTTGCCAGCGACTCACAGCAGCCCAGCTCCAGGTTGAGCTGTTGTTCAGCATGTTAGCTGTGGAGGGCAGTGTCACTGGCCCTCATATGTGGGATCCGAATCGGGGCCCTGTGGCGTCCCAAGCCAGCTCTTAACCATCGCGCCACTCGGCCAGCCCTCTGACCCTTTGTTTTAGAACCTGTAAAATTATAGTATGGTACCTGCCCTGTCTAGCATGCAGAGTGATGCCACCGAGCCAGGGGTCAGGAGTACAGCTGGCACATGGTCAGTCATGGTCACATGTGTTCCGGTCACACCTCTCTCCCATTACAGTGTCCTGTGCTCTGTCTCCTTCCTCTGATGACCTGATTAGTTTGGGAAAACTGGCTAATGTTTTCATCTTCCAGATAAAAGATTTAACAGGAGCCTCGTGGGAACCTGATTTCTTTCCTTTTTAACATCTTATTATGAAAAATATTCACTTTGCTGCATGGACTTGATTTCTTCATGCAGAGGAATAACCCTGCTGATGGGGAAGTGTTGGGGATCCTGGAGGCTGGACGAGGGAGGCGTTTGCACATAAATTGAATTTAAGGCAGAGCTTCCCAAAGGCCAACTGTGAGCACCCACATCCCTGCCACTCCTGACCTCAGGGCCACGACTCCTGGTACTTAGGGGGACATAGGACTTAGCACACAGAGAAATAGGAAGTAAATAAAATGAAAATAAAGGGGGCTAACTGCAGCATGTGGGTTTCCTACCCATGATGCCTCTGGTTGGGGGTTAGAGAGAATGGTTGGCTCTCTTGCTGGTGAGTGGAGAGCTGAGAAATTTGTCTTTAATACGCAGAGTAGGGCAGAAAGACCTAGAACCTTTTTATATTAAGACCCAGGTGCAGGTCTCTAGGGGCAGCTGTCAGAAGTGACAGCAGTAGGTAGGGCTGCACAAGCCCAGGTGCTAGAAACTGTTTTTTGCAAGACCCTTTCTTGCCTCCTTGCTTGAAAAAAAGAAAAAAATAAATGAAAGAGGTTCTCAAAAAAAAAAAGTGTATTTCTTAAACATAAAGTGTTCAGGCATACCTTCTTTTTAACTTAAGAATTGACACAATTTTATTTTAAGCAGAAAACAAAAGAAAAATTAAAAATATATCTTGAGAATAAATACAAGATGGAGAGAAGGAAGAGAAAATGGAATCACTGATTCTTCAGACCATATAACTTATTGTCCCTAAAGTTTCTCTCCTTGGCTTGCTTGCCCAGTCCAAGGATTACTTTTCTTTAACTAAAAATGTTGGTGAGAGAAAATAAAATGATCTGAAGTTTTAAAAACCTAATACTAAGATTGCAGAGCATCCTTGGAATTGACCATGAAGGCAGTCAAAGGAATTCATAGTGACATCCGCCCACCCTTATGTTAAAATCATATAGCGTATCATTCTGTTCCATCGATCCATCCATCATCCATCCATCCATCCATCCATTGATTCATCCATCCATCCATTGATTCATCCATCCATCCATCGATTCATCCATCCATCCGTCCGTCCGTCCATCTGTCCTATCCTAGTGATCACTAGGGTATGGAGAACACACTACGACTTCATAGGTAGTGGTCCTGCCCTCATAGTGCACTGCTATCCTCGCCGTGTAGAAGGTCAGTGCCGTGCTTATTTTCTAGATGCTGGTGTTAGGAGTTCACACGTTAGAGTTGGAAGGTGAGGTGCACATTCCTGGCTATGGTGGCCGTGAGCACTGAGGCTGCAGCAGGACCCCAGAACAAACACTTCCCAGTCCCTCTAATCCTTTCTCGGTTTCCAGGATATAAATTGTTTGGGTTCATGGGTCCATTATTATATTAATAGGCTTCTGTCTCCAGAACTCCTCTTATTCAAATCAACTTCAAATTAGCCATAGCAATAAAGCAGCGAACAGCACAGATGGTTCAGTCATTTGTACCTGGCTTTGGGGAGCATAATAATGGGATTATTTTTCTGTGGCAGTTGATCTACCATCCTAATTATGTTCTGTTTAGTCTGAAAACAAGCCTCCATGCCCCCTCTGCCCCCTGGCAACACTAGCTTCCCTTGGGCCGCATTGGCCTGGAAACATAGGCTCGGTGCTGGGACCATACCAGCTGGGGCCTTCACCTCAGATACTCCATAAAATGAGACATCCACACAGGGATCCTGAGTTATTAAAGAAAGGATTCTCTATTTCTCCATAAGAAAAGGTTGTTCTTTAATGTTGACTTGTTTTGCCAATATTCTTTTTAAAGTCTCTATTCCTAAGAGCCAGCAAACAGCCATCATGCCAAAGAAAAGTGCTCTGACGTAACCTCTGCGTAGCGCTAGACTCACTTCTTTTTCTGTTCCTTGTTGCCCACATAGACCCTTTAGTGGCTCTTGGGTTTGTGCCCCTCACACACGTTCTGCTTCTGTATGACCTAGAAGTGTGCCGTGTCACTGCCAGGCAGCGTGAAGCCGGGGGAACTCACATGTCCTGTTTCCATCCAGAGCGCTCAGAGTTCGCAAGAAGATGTCTGGGGAGAAGATGCCTGTGAAGATGATCGGAGACATCCTAACGGCCCAGCTGCCACACATGCAGCCCTACATCCGCTTCTGCAGCTGCCAGCTGAACGGGGCTGCCCTGATCCAGCAGAAGACGGACGAGGCCCCGGACTTCAAGGAATTTGTCAAAGTAAGGAGGAGCCCGGGCTGAGCCGAGCCCCTGCACCACCCCTGGCCACCGGCAGCTGTGTTTGGGCAACTGGGTGTGTGAGGACCTAATTCCAATGTTTGGAAGCCTATTTCTGCTAAAGGCCAATGGGGACTGAGGACTTGGCTGAACGATAGGGGGCCGGCACTCGCCGGCAGGTGTGGTTGTGACCACAGGGAGCCTGGAGAGAAGGGGCCAGCCCTGGGCCTGGGAGCTTTGATCTGCTGTCCAGGTGGTGGTGATGGTGGTGTTTGGATACAGGTTTAAATTTTCCATCTCATTTGTCAGGCCGAGGAGGGCTGGTGGGTCTCAAGTTTCCTATTCTGTTTAATCTGAGCACCCTCAGTTCTTGGCTGGCCTCTGCCCTTCACCTGCAGAGGGGATGGCCAGGAGCCCCAGTACACTGGTTGCTCCTCCCCAGCTTGGTTCCTCTTGATGGTCTCAAGCTCCAGGCAGCCCATGGGGGGGTGAGTGAGGGATGCCAAGGCCTCTGCCTCTGGGGACTACAGAGTTCTGGAGAGCCATGTGTCCACGAGGGGACATTTACGGGACGGGGGTGGTGGGGGGGTTGGGGGGGTGCTGCTAGAGGCACCAGGCCACGGGTCTGCTGCCCTGGGACCTGCCCTTGGCCAGGCTGGGTCCCTGCTGGCCATGCCAGCCCACATAATCAGCCTCACTCAGAGAAGAAGGAAAAAAATAAGACGATATTTAAAAAACTTCTCCTAAACAGGTACATTTTAATGAATGACAGCAAAATAATAATAATGACAGACTTATCTTGGTACCTCATGCATTTTGGGGTCAGGCCATTCCCTCCTCCTCAATGATTGTGTTTGTGGACTCCTCACTGCGTCTCTTCTTGACGGTAGCATCACATACGCCTGTTCTTTCTTCCTCCCCTCACTGCCTCCCCCCCCCGTATTTCTCAACATTAAAGCTTCAATTTGCTAGCTAATGAATTAGTCATTCTAAAGTCATTCTAAGGGGAAAATATTGCTAAGAAGTTGGCCTAGGATGGGATGCAGACTGGAGAACGGAGTCTGGGCTGCCGGGTGCCATGGGCCACCTGGGGTTCCAGCCAAGGGTTGGGTCCTCCCTGGGCACAGGCAGTAGGAGTTCATCACTTGGATGCACTTGAACTTCAGGGAAATGCTGACACCAGCCCAGAGAGGGGGCTTGTTGCCCCTTCTCGCCTCACCCTTCCCCTTCTCAGCTTTCGCCACCTCACCCCTGTGGGAGTTTGACATGCCTTTACCAGCTGCGGACTATTCCTGGAGTGATGATGCCCACGGCTAGAGCAGGTTCCGGAGCTGGCAGATCCCAGGGCCTGGGGCCAAGGTCATGGCAGCTGTCTGTTTCTAAAGCATTAAACCTGAAAAGAGCCTTTGAGAGCTCCGTCACCATGTAATCCCTGTGATTTGTGGACAGGACCACCTTTTTAGGATAGAAGGACTCTAGCCCTCCAGATGAGTTGACAGAATTGGCACAAGCGGTGGGAAGAAAGAGGTAGGGGGTCCAGGATGGAGACAACCCACAGGCCCCAAGACTGGAGTCCTGACCCCTCACGTCTCAGCTCCACTGTCCCACCCTGCCTGAGCCGCCCACAGGTGTGTGCAGGCTCCACGCGAAACAGTCAGTGACATTCAGCCCTTCCAGCATCTCTGGAACGTAAGGGAATTTTTATTCTGACCCTGTAGTCTTGTGATTCCCCTTGTTCCTGGGAATGTTGTGAAGTTTTTTGCAGATATCCAGAAGAAATATTCTCTAACCTCACCTCTGTAAGTAAGGAATCGTGTGTCCCATGGAAAGTGTCCCATGTGTCCCATGAAAGGAATCTGGAGAGCAGGGGTTCACCCTGGTGGCTGAGTCACATCTTCAGGTCCCCCACTCTCCATTTGGAAAGTACCTCCATCCTGGACTAGGATACCTGGTCAGGCCCTTCCAACCCCAGGCTCCCCAGTTGTCACCTAGATAAATGAGACCATGTGAGGGTGGGGAGTCCTAAATATAGCCTCAGTGTTGATGTCACCAACTGGATTTTGCAGATTTCTTAAGTACATTTAAAAAAATCTCTTATTTCAGAGATTGGCAATGGACCCTCGATGTAAAGGGATGCCTCTCTCTAGTTTTATACTGAAGCCTATGCAACGGGTAACAAGATACCCACTGATCATTAAAAATGTAAGTACCCGTCTTGCCTTTTCAAGTGGAGGAATGCTTTCTCAGCATTTCAGAGGTCCGGGGTCACGGGCAAGTTCTCCAGCCAGCACACCTGGTATCTGTTGTGTAGAAATCATGTGCCAATAGGGTGCTGGAGGCATGTGCTTGGTAACTCAGAAAGAAAAGCTGTTTAGCGTGAAAAGAGCTAATAATACGCAACCTTCAGCTGGGAGACCAAGTGGCTTCTACCTTATAAGTTGGAAAGTGAAAGCTCAGTCCTCGAGTCTCTCCCTAATGCAGACATAGTACCTCGAAGCCTTGACTTTCCAATCAAGAAAGAGAGAAAGAAATATAATTCCTACCACCCATCTTCAGAAAGCCACTGTGACAGACTCTAGTTGATATTAGATAATTGTCGTTCTCCTGTCACTTCAAGAAGCCAATACCAAACGAAAGGAAAAAAAATTAGGGTTTCAGAGTCCCCATCTGTAAAATGATTGAAAAGATTTAGACACCCTCTGAGCCTGGGATTCATATCCACAGGGAGGGCAGCTCCTGGAGAAAGCTTTTAGATCTGGCTCCTTTTAGTGGAGAATTTAGAAACCCAGACCTGGACACTGGTGTGCACATTGCTACCAGGGTGGTGCGGTCTTTGGGTCTCTCAGTGGTAGAGTCAGGAAATATATGTATGTAAATATGTTCATAAACATATTTTTTACATATACATAAGTGTACACACCTGTATTTATTTCAGCATCAATCTATGTGTGTTATAATGCATATTAAAACCCATGTGTTCACAATACCTCCTGTTCTAATCTAATACCACAGAATCGATTCTAGCCTTCCCTCTTTCTATATATTTATAACTCCCTTCTCTAGAGGAGCCTGGCTCTCATTATCCTCAATATATTTATGAATTTGTGGGATCCCCTTATGTGTAACAAATCATGGTACATTTACGTGACTGGCTCATATCATGGCTGATCGATGGCAGAGCAGGGATTTTCACCCACGAGGTCTAGCTGCAGAGCTGGCATTCTTAACCACTAGCTTGGAATGGTCTATCCAGAAAACCACACATTTGCTCAGACGCACCCATCTGCGTTCAGATCCAGCAGCACACAGACACCTGCAGCTGTGTATGGACCCAGGAAAGAGCTGTTCTCTTGGGAGAACATGGGCTGCATTATGGCCTTGCTGCAGCCTCTGCCCTCCTCACACCCCAAATATAAATAATGTGGCATCTCCTGTCTCTCGAAGGGGACCCTGGCACCAAGGAGTGGCTGTCACACTCCAGGCATTGCCTCGGTGAGTGCTTGTAGCTGCTCGGAGCTGCTGTGGCTCATGTGGGCACCATTCAGGAAAGGTCTGTGCTGTGCTGTCTCTGTTGGGCCTGACCGTCCAGGACAGTGAACCCCAGGAGGTTGTTGCCTTCTGTTCTCCCATGCAGATCCTGGAAAACACCCCTGAAAACCACCCCGACCATAGCCACTTGAAGCACGCCCTGGAGAAGGCGGAAGAGCTGTGTTCCCAGGTGAACGAAGGCGTGCGGGAGAAGGAGAACTCCGACCGGCTGGAGTGGATCCAAGCCCACGTGCAGTGTGAAGGCCTGTCTGAGGTTAGCCGCCGTGGGGGCGGGACCCGGGCCTCCCGGCTGAGCCTCTGCAGCCAGCCCGAAGGAGGACGAGAAAGAGCAGGAGCTGTCCCTCTCTCCAGCTCATAGCTTGCTGGCCCCTCTCTGGCTGCTTCTCATCAGCGATTTAACCCATCCACTGAGTTTTTAACTTCAGTTGTTTTCCTTTCCATGTCCAGAAGTTCTATTTATTTTCTCTAAGCTGCTGGTTTCTTTCTTGTGTCTTGTTCCTTGCACAAGTGGCCATGCTTCTCATTTATTTCCCAATACATTTAAAACATATTCCTGTATATTTCAAACTTGATCATTCCAGTATCTAACATTATGGGTCTTACTCTTCCGTCTGCTGTTTCCGCTAGCCCTCACCACACCACCTGTTTCTCTGTATGTACTGTGATTTTTTTTTTTATTGTGGGCTCAATGTTGCTTGGAGCTTTATCTGTGGGATCTTTGAGGTTTGAAGTTGCATTCCTCCTGAGAGGAATTAAATTTAGAGGGTTTTTAGGGATCACGTTAGTTGTGTGAATTGTGGTTATAAACTTCTATGAGAGCTGCCTTGTGGTTACAAATTCTCAGGGGCATTTTTTTCCCCCTCGACTTATTTCAAGGTAAAAAACAATCAAGTTTTTTTTGCTCGTCTCTTCTGTGCATGAGTTTACTTGTCATTCTTCCTCTGGGGCCCAGCTTTTTGTGATCTCCTGTTAGATTCCTCACCTCACATGGGCCCTGGATTCATCTCCTGTCTTTTGCACCCCGTGTAGCCTTTAAAATGGAAGCTCATGGTCACCAGATTTAAGAGAGATTCTCAGGGCCAAAGCCAGCTTTGGGGCTTCTCTTTCAGGGCTTGCATTTTCATTCTGTTTTTGGCCTCTGTAAATTTCTTACTTTTATTTTTACCACCTTGTTTATATTTTAAAAGTACATTTTTATTTTTTACTCAGTTTTTAAAATTTCCATTTGGTTGAGTCAGAGTGTCTAGTCCACCATACTGTCAGAAGCAGAAGCCTCTTTTTTCATCTTTACTTCTCTTCTTGTTTCCTTTAGTTTCATTCAGTCTTTCTGCCTGTTCTCTCTCTTTCTCTATCTCTGCCTCTGTACACATATGTACACACATGCACACACATATGCATACCATTCACTAGGGTTGACCAAAGTGCCCAGGCAGAATCTGTCTCTCTCACCCACTGTCTTTGTGGCTTCTTCCTTCTTACAAGCTTCAAGGCAGTCACTACCCGAGGAAGTTACCACCAGTTCCTCCCTGCCCCACCTCCTGTCTGCCTTCAGCATAGGTGTGGGATAATAAAGTTGTGGAAACAGCCCTGTGGAAATTAAAGTGATGGACCTGGGCTCTCATATTGGAATTCTGTGTTAATATGCAATCTAAGGGCTTCCATTGGTTGGCTGGCTCACTTATTCATGCATTCACTTATTCATTCATTCATTCAAAAAACATTTATTGAATACCTGCCCATGTGCTATTGCTGAGTACTAAATCTGAGGACATGAAAATCAGTAAGATGTAACCTCCCCTCTCTCAAGGAGCCTACGATCCTGGAGGGGTCAAACCAATATTTACAACAAAATCTAAGAAACGGTTGGTAGAACTAGGTGCCAAGTGTTTTGGGAACACGCAATAGGGAGGAAGGGACAGTTGTGGAGGGATTGGGGACAGTTTGGAGAAGGTGACACTTGGCTGGATGTTGAAGCATGAAGATATCTCTCCAGGGAAGAATCTGGGGGAGGGCATTTCGGTGGAGAGCACAGCCTGAGCAGGGCATGGCTGAGGAATGGAGTGTGATAAGGCTTTAAGGCAAGTTGAAGCCAGGGCGAGGAAGGCCTGTGTGTCATTGCGAGGAGCGTTAGCTTCATAGTTTCTGAGCAGTCTGCCTGGCAGAAATGCCACCATAGCAACATGCTTTGGAAAGCACCCCACCCTGAGTCTCATGGCTGCAGTCGGGGGGACTCAATGAGGCCTGACTCTTCATCTTAAAACACTAAGAATAAAATAAACTCTGTCATTTGCTTTTCGTGGCTTCTATACCCTCTTTTAAACAGACTGTTGTCCTTCTTTATCGCCCAGCCTTTCCTCGCTTTCATTTTGCCTGTGCCATGCTCACAGTCATGGAAAGCCACGTTGGCTTCTGTTTCCTGGCCCAGATCTGGAGACACGCCAATGATTGTCAATTAAATGCTATCGTTGGCATTCTTGTCTGTTCCCACTTCATACATAGTCAGTGTTAGCCTGGACAATTGGAGGCCCTAATCTTTGAGTCTCAATGAACGACATCGCTTTTCAGTGATCCAAGTTGACTTTTCTTGATTCATTGTCCCCAAGTGGCTTGAACGCTCTCTTGGCAAGTGGAAAGGGCTCCTGGTTAAGAGAGACTCTCGGGGCCCGAAGGAATGAAGAATATCTTTTGAAGGCTCTAGTTGGGGTGTCACCTTTAGTCTTTTGGGCTCTCTCAGAGCCTCAGTAGGAGGTAGAGATCCTCCTTCGTCCTTGTACCTGAGAGCGAGGTGGAGTGGCCACTGTTCCTTGGTGCCTGTAGGTCTCTGGTCACAGAGGCACTGCTGATTCTCTCACATTGGAAGCAGACAGGGGGCCACCAGCATCTCTTGGGGATGCGTGTTTGAACCCCGTAACTTTCACAAATAGTGTCCTCGTGGAAGCCTGTAGGGTTTGTAGCTCTGGAGAGAGCCTCGGCCTTGAGTGCTGGTAGATGGAACACCTGGATATGGACAGGTGGGGACCATGATGCCTGCCTGGATCTTGTCACTCACTGCCTGGGCACAGCTGTGGACTTCCCCTCCCTCAGTCTCCCCTGATATCTAAATTAGATTGTTGTCCTTCTTTATCTAAAAAGGGGACCTTAGTGGGGTAGTTTCTGCCTTAGTGTCCCTCTGTCCCTTTAAAACCTGCTCATACGAGATGCTAGAGCCGATTAGGATGATAGAGAGTAGGATGGCAGGGCCTTGTGGGATGGAAGAGCCACATTTGAGCACTCAGGGCCTTCTCTAAGGTTTGGGAAATGGCAGGAAGAGGGCCACCCTCTTCTCGTTTTCAGGACCAGTGAGTCGGGCGAGGTTTAATACCGCCAACACAATATCTATTCCGCTTGGCTTTGAGGCATCACTCAGCACCACTGAGTTTTGCAGTCACCCACATCTAGGGGCCTGGACCTCAGCTGTACCTTGGAAAGTAACATTTTTCCTGTGGAATTGTACACAGGGAGTTGCTGCTGCTTTCCAGAAGTCCAATGGACTGTTTGAACCTGTGTGAAGCCATCACTGGAGCTGGTTCACACCACCTCCAGCGTGCCGCACAGCGCATAGTATCTACTCATCGAGGTAGCTGACAGCTGAGTATTTTCTTCCTGCTGCCCAGGCTCCCCATACATAAAAGGGAGGAGACCACGCATCACCCAAAGACACGAGCAAACCCCTAGGGGAAAAGCATTAAGAATCATAACCAAGGCTCATCTTGACACTCGGAATCCCAGAACCGTGCCTTTGATCGGCTTTGACTTCTTGGCTGCAAAAGGCACTGCCGGGAGCCTTCAGAGCAGTCCTTGCTGTGAGCTTCAGCTCCAGACCCGCCTGGGCCCGGCCCCAGAGTCTGATGGAGCCCATGCTTTCAGATGCAGAAAAACCCAAATCAAAACATAACCTGACTTCACCGTGTCTTCTTTGGGTTTTGTTTTCCTTTCTCAGCAACTTGTGTTCAATTCAGTGACCAATTGCTTGGGGCCACGCAAGTTTCTGCACAGTGGGAAACTCTACAAGGCCAAGAGCAACAAGGAGCTGTACGGCTTCCTCTTCAACGATTTCCTCCTGCTGACCCAAATCATAAAGCCCCTGGGCTCTTCTGGCACTGACAAGGTCTTCAGCCCCAAATCCAACCTGCAGTATAAAATGTACAAAACAGTAAGTTGGATTCTAGATCGCAATATCAGGGTTGATGTGTGGGGGAGGAGAAGCTTTCCAGGAGGAGTCAGAGTTTCAGCAGAGCTCTGGGGCCATGGTGTAGAGGAGGAGGTGAAGGGGTGAGCCAGGATGTAGGGTGCAGTTCCAGTACAGGCATACCTCGCTTTATTGCTCTTTGCTTTATTGCACTTCACAGATGTTGCGTCTTTTACAAATTGAAGACAAGACCCTCCATCAGCTAAATGATTACGACTCGCTTTATTTTTTTTTTAATATATACTTGCTTTATTGGAGAGGTCTATCACTGAACCTGCAATATCTCTGAGGTGTGCTTGTATTATCAGAAAAGGAGCAACACTCAATTCGATTGACAGAACATCTATTAGCTGCCAAATGGCTGCTGTGGGTCCCCCAGACATGATGAAGACATGCCCTGCCCTGGCAGGGCTCACGCTCTAGTGTACAGATGAGGCAGGCGTGGGAAAGGTTGGGAGTAGAGCTCCCACCTTCCAAACATTCCCAGATCCCCCTCCAAACTCCTCAAGGTAGCGTGAATCATCTGAGCCCCTCACCTTTTCCCGCTATAGCCAATCTAAACAGCCCACGTGTGGAGAAGTCTCCTAGGCTGTTTACTGGGTCTGCTCCTACATGCGTGTCTGTTTGTGTGTCTTCATGCTATGGGGTGTTGTTTTTCTAAATTTGTCTCTGTGGTGGTGTTCTTACAGATGAATTTGCTCTGAAGCAGCAGTTAGCCTTATGTGGGAGAAAAGAACAATGTACCTATGCAGCTCGTCATTAGCTGCTTTGTATGAAAATCTTTGGAGGAAACTTTTTAGAGTAAAGTTGATGGGGGCTGTTTGCTGGTTAGGATATGCTGTGGGAAAAACAGACCAGTTATTCTGAAGGTCTTAAAAAATACCTGCAATGTGGAGGTGGGGGAAATCCATATTTCTAGTTTGCAACATATGAAAGTTGATGTTAACACAAAATCCCATTCCAGTAGATTTTACTGGGACATGCACACACACTCACACAGTCACACACACACACCAATACACCCTCAACCTAGGGTACTGGAAAATGTACACCCCCCCACACACACACACACAGTCTAGTTTAGTGGAACACATGCATACGTACACACGTGTGCGCATGCACACACACACACACACACACACACCTCAATCTAGGGTACTGGAAAATGTACACACACACACACACACACACACACACACTTTACTGGAACACACAGACACCTAGTCTAGTTTTATAATGCCTGTGATGCCTGTGTATTATTTTTCAGCCTATATTCCTCAATGAGGTTTTAGTAAAATTACCCACTGACCCTTCTGGAGATGAACCCATTTTCCACATTTCTCACATCGACCGAGTCTACACCCTCCGAGCAGAAAGCATAAACGAAAGGTAAGACCTGCCACCCTCCTGGCCCTGGGCACCCAGGTTCCACCAGATGCAGGACCACGGAGGACATTTAATTACTCAGCAGGTCCCAATAATCCCCCAGGTGCAATACCATAATCTCTGTCTGGAGAGGCCGGGGGAGGTCTTCATACTTTCTTCTAGAGCCTCGCACAAGTTTGACATGTGGCATGAATGTTCAAAATAAAATGAATTGAAATTAATTTTGCTTGAGAATTCTTTTTTGGTAGAAATTTTCAGCATTCTTTGAGATAAGTGGAGCATCTCAGGTTTCCCAGGTGGCAGAAACCAAAAGGAATGCAATTTAGGGATTAATAGGACCACCCAAACCCAGCCCCCTCTACAGCTGGCTCACTTGGACAGACATCCTGGATCCTAGAGCTGTGGGTATTTTGCTCCAGTCATGTCTTCAAGACTCTGTCCTGGAGCCAAATGAAATAGATCATTTTCTGAAGGGTGAACTTGACCCAAGGCCAACATTCCAAAGAGCGTTTGTGCCAAGTAAGAAAATTGGCCGGAGTTATCGTACATATGGCTCTCTGAAAAATGAAAGCGAAAACGTCATGCCAAAATATTCGCCCCAGTGTGCGTTTGCTCCTTCACATCAAGTGGTTCCTTATCTGGGAAATGGTTTTTCACGCATCCCTTGGATGGTTTAGTAGGAGAGAACCTTCTGGCCTTATTGGATTAGGAAAATATGTGATGCTTTTCAAAAAGGGAGGGAGAGGAATTATGTGCCCACATCTCCTCCCGGACTGCATTTATCATAGATTGTCTTGCATGGGGACACCAGTGCAGTTCTTGAATACATCAGTAAAAACGTCACACGTTCCTTTCTTATTAATGGTAGGAATAATTATAATATTACAATCACATGACATAAATCCAGACTTTCTTTCCCGAGCCTTTGTTGTTAAAATCAAATGAACAAAGCAGAGTCCTGGAAACTGCACGGGAACAGACATGAAGCCTTTCTCCCGAGTTCTGTTTGGCACCTTTCTGTCTTTTCCTTTCCAAGGACTGCCTGGGTGCAGAAAATCAAGGCTGCTTCTGAACTCTACATAGAGACGGAGAAAAAGAAGCGGGAGAAAGCATACCTGGGTAATGCATTGTTCCACAGAGTGGACTGTGCTTCCTGCAAAGCTGGGGCAGAAGGCCATTTGGTGGGGCCCAGAATCCTTAGAGCCGGAAAATGGGCCTGGAGGCAGAGAGGCCCGAGACGGGATGGAAGTGCGAGGAAGAGGGACGGTGGGGTGCAGGATGAGGGGTGGAGAGTCAATTCCAGGAGCAAGGAAGCAAGTGTTTAAGGAGAGGAGGGCAGAATTCCTCTTGAGTGGGGGCAGGTCCACAAAACAGAGCACGAGGCAAGCAGGGATAGAAAGGTGTCAAACGTTAAAATGAAACGTGTGTTGTTTTTCCTGCTGTCATAGTCCGTTCCCAAAGGGCAACAGGGATCGGAAGGTTGATGGTGAATGTTGTTGAAGGCATTGAGCTGAAACCCTGTCGGTCACACGGTAAGGACCCAAGAAGCTCCGCCCCCCCACCCTCCTCACCTCCCAGCACGTGTTCAAGGTAAAAGCCTTTTCTGCATCCCTCCCCCCCATCCCCAGTCTGGCTTTAAATCAAATGTGCTATTTCCATAATCCCAAATTTCCTTAAATTTCCTTTCAGAATTGGTTTTTGTAGCACTTGTCAAAAACCTAGAGGATCCGAACCAGGGCCCTCTGGCATCCCAAACCAGCTCTTAACCATCACACCACTCGGTCGGCCCCTTGTTTGTTTGTTTTTAACTCTTTCCACCGTTACGCTTTTCAGAGAGGTCTGAGGGGCTGCCATTTCACAGTAGATGTGATGCAATCTAAGGCTAATGCAAGGAGATAAGAGGCGCTTAGAAAGAAGCCCACTCATCTAATTATTTACTCTTAGTTTTAGTATGATGCTGAGTTGTGGGAGTTTGGGCCTGGATTCTCCATTTTATGCCACTTACGAAGCGCGGCCGTGGAGGGGGATAAAAATGGGCGTAGAGGGATGTGCTGCCCGCCGTGACCCCACCACACCGCGCCCAGAAGAGACCGGGGCCAGGCGGCAGTCAAGCAGGCTCTGTTCACTCCAGGAAAGAGTAACCCGTACTGCGAGGTGACCATGGGCTCCCAGTGTCACATCACCAAGACGATCCAGGACACTCTGAACCCCAAGTGGAATTCCAACTGCCAGTTCTTCATCAAAGACCTGGAGCAGGAGGTCCTCTGCATCACGGTGTTTGAGAGGGACCAGTTCTCTCCAGATGGTGAGTAGAGAGGACCCTCCCC